TGGGCTGGTCAATGAACTGGGCTATCATGCTGGCGTTGATGCCTGATTTGGGCAACTCCATTACATCCACCATGAATGCAGCACCAGAATGCCGGGAGGCAGGAAACTCGGTCATTCAGCTTCTAAATCCAGTAGGAAAGGTCAAGAGATTGTGGATGTTATTGAGTATTGTCTTATGTTGGGAGACAGCTTCTGTCAAGGAGTTGACCTTTAGGAGTGCTACAAAGGGGTTAGGGACTGTCTTAGTCTGTTTGTGTTACTATAAAGGAAATACCTGAGGCTGAGTAATTAATAACAAAAAAAAAAGAGGTTTATGGTTGGCTTATGGTTCTGCAGACTGTACAAGAAGCATGGCACCAACATCTGCTTCTGGTGAGGGCCCCAGGAAGCCTTTACTCATGATGGGAGGGGGAGCAAGCATGTCTCATGGTGAGAGGGGGCCAGAGAGAAGATGAGGTGGCAGGCCCTTTTAAACAACCAGCTCTCCATGGGAACTAATAGAGCAAGAACTCACTCATTACTGAAGCAAGGGAACCAAACCATTCATGAGGGATCTGATTCCATGACCAAACACCTCCCACATGGCCACTTCTAACAGTGGGAATCAGATTTTGACAAGAGATTTGGAGAGGCAAATATCCAAACTATGTCATGGACAAACTGTGAATTTGTCAATTGTGAATACTTAGCTGGTGGCACTATGAAAAATAGATAAAAATCTACCCTTAACATTAGGTCACGTTCTGACCTGATAGAGCTTTCTGGAAGCGCTCATCACAGTTGGGTAAAGGGAATGTGTTATGATGCCAGTTGGCTCCAAAAGTACCTAGTGGTGCTAATACTCAACCCAGGAGAGGACATTCGAAATTTATTCTTCACTGAACCACAACAGTCCCCTGCCAATATGGCACAGAACCACTTTACCCAGGCAGGTGCCAAGTAGGGTAAGGTGTAGACTTCCTTTTAAGGCATGTGAAAATGCTTTACATGAAAAAACAGTAGGAGAGAAATACATGACGGCTCTCCCCCTTTTCTAACTTGTAGTATTCCTGAAAAGATACCTGGTTAGCAATTGTTAGCTAAAACCACAATGTTTTTCCCCCTTAGGCAGCCCAGTCCACAGACTTAAAAAGAAACTTGTAGGAATGAATGTCCAGGTGGCATTTTTTGATGATATAAACAGACTTCCCCAAATCTGTCCCACTTGCATTGTCTTCTATGTGAATGATGCAAGTTCAGTTCCCAACATGGTGCCATATGGATTGTGGATAAAGTTGCAAGAGGGCCAGTAGTCACCCAAGATTTGGGTACAACAAGATCATCAGACAGTGTAATCACAGTACAATATATAGTCCTCTCAGACTAAATAGGAATGACAGCCACAGATGCATGCTTAGGGTCATGGGACACATTTGTATATCCCTAGCTACTAGGTTGAATACACTAATTACATATTTTAATTCCCATTTGTGGAAGACTGAGAAATGCTATATCCCCTCACTGAGACTGTTTATACTGCACCCCAGAGGAGGAGGGGCCAGAACAGTTACAATGCACCATACTTGTAGTGGACCTGGTAAGTCACAGAGCATGTCCTGATGTCAGGAAGAGGCCACCAGCATTCAGGCTGCCCCTGGAATAAGCAAAAACAAATGCTGATGATACTTGAACTCTCACTGGGGAGCCACACCACTGGTGCCCCTGGGAATTGAGATGTGTGCAACCGATTACAGGAGTCATTTATGGAGAAGGTGGTTGTGGCATCTGCTACAGTGCTAAACTTAAAAACACTGGCAATTGTAATTCTTTCCAGTCAGAGCTCCGATCTGTGGCTATCCACTGTGAGGAGACCAGGAGCAATGAGATAGTTAGTTGTAATTATTCTTTTAAAAACTTTCAAGAGAGAGCCACTTAAGGAACGAACAATTTATCTCTTTTCAGGAGTTCCCTAAGGTTTCCTTTGAGCATGGATATGTGGGATCAGGAACACCTGGGCAATTCTCAATGCTTTGGACTGATCACCATAGTGTTTAGTGTTTCTTTCTTTGGAATTCCCAACCAGCCTCATCTTGGGATGGTTTGGGATAGTCCCTCGTAGGGACACCCCTACCAATGCTTTTGGGGTGATTCCAGCCATGGGTTCAACCAGATGGAACTTTAATACTTTTATTAGTTTTGTAATTTTGAAGTGTCTTTTGATCCTTTCTTATGTCCTGAGAGACATATCCTCAAATAGACTGTGAATTCCCAAAGGGAAGCATTGTATCACCATGATTTTTATAAATAAAGACTTGTCCGGGTGTGGTGGCTCATGCCTGTAATCCTAGCACTCTGGGAGGCTAAGGCGGGCAGATTGCTTGAGGTCAGGAGTTCGAAACCAGCCTCAGAAAGAGTGAGACCCTGTCTCTACTAAAAATAGAAAGAAATTAATTGGCCAACTAATATATATAGAAAATATTAGCTGGGCATGGTGACACATGCCTGTAGTCCCAGCTACTTAGGAGGCTGAGGCGGAAGGATTGCTTGAGCCCAGGAGTTTGAGGTTGCTGTGAGCTAGGCTGACACCACAGCACTCACTCTAGCCTGGACAACAAAGCAAGACTCTGTCTCAAAAAAAAAAAAAAAAAAAAGAAAGAAAGACTTGACCAACTGGATAGTGATTCCATTTACCCAAGTATGAGTTGGAATTTCTTTGGCTGATAGATTTCATGATACAGATGAAATTACTGAATATTTAGGCAATTATGTCACCAAAATACCTTGATGTCTGAGCAGTGACATCATTCTGGACTGGATGAATAGATTTTTGTAGGAAAAAAATAAGCTTGTAGATAAGGGCAGCATGCTGGAGGGGGGGGCCCTGTAATTTGCATTTTTAAATATGCATCCAAGTGATTTTTATGCTTTTGTAAAATTTGAGAATGACTGGACTAGAATATTAATTAATAATCATCACTCCCTGGGGTCAGCAGATTGTGGAGTCATAAGATTAAATCAGAATTAATGACCCAACCCACATAAAAGAGTACATGAATAGAAAGACCAAGTTGAACACCATAATTGCCCTAATGTATATGAATATTCTTCTTAAGCATTTCCTGATGTAGTGGCAATAGTCTTGTGCTCCTCGTCAGAGTGTCCTGAGTTCTCTCCTTCCAACATCAACTGGGAGTGTGTGAATTTGTGTTGGACTTACCATCTCTCTGAATCTCTGATGCTCAGTCTCTATAAAATGTGGCAGAGTTGTGCCACCTACATGAGCTGATGTAAAAGAAAGCTCCTGGTATACTTTATTCAATGCATATTTCTTGATTGATGAAAGGCTTCAAAACCTCAATTTTCAGATGACTTCTTAATTATTCCCTGTTTATCTCATCCTGTCCTATACAGTGACAACTCCCAAATTTACATCTTCAGCTGTGATTTCCTCACCTAAATCCAGACTCCTATTCCAACCACCTGTTTGACATTTCCTCTTGGGTGTCTAATTGGCATTTTTAACTTAACACATCCAAAACAAAACTATCAATCCCTCTTCCTAACCCTGTTCCTTTCAGGATACTCCATTTCCAAAAGACATTCTTATGCTAGTTGCTCAGATCAATAACCATGGAGTATCATCCTTAATCAACATTCAACTCATTAGCAAATCATGCTGGCCAAGCCTTCAAAATATATGTAGAACCACTTCTCACCACCTCCATCACTTCTAAACTACTCCATGCCACCATCATTCCTCACCTGGAATATTGCAATAGCACCTTAAGTTCCCTGCTTCTACTGTTGCCCGCCTTCAGACTGTTCTCAACAGGGCAGCCAGTGCAAACTTGAAAAATGTAAGTCATGGAGTGAAATTTTCATGCAAGGTTGATTTTAGAATGACTAAGGAGAGAGAGTAAGGAATTCACAGAATTTACAGGAACATATTTCTTGACTCTTGTGTCACATAGCTAACAAGTCTTTGAATACGTGGCAGTGGGAAAAAGCTAGATCATATCATTCGTCTGTCCCCAAATCCTCCAGTTGCCAGCTCCTTACGTTATTCAGAGCAAATTCAAAGCCCTTATCATAGCCTACAAGGTCCTAAATGTGCATTATCCCCACCTCGCTCCAGAATCAAGACTTTCCCCTAAGAGGACACGCTCGAAATTGACTCGGGTAGGGCAAGGGCAATATACATAACCTAAACATTTGTATCCCCATAATATGCTGAAATAAAAAAGGAAAAAAAAGACTTTTGCTCCTAATGTTCTACTGATCGGCAACACTCTTCCCCAGATAGCCACATGCTTCAGTGGCTCACTTCCTGTCTCTGCCTTCCCTGGCTGTCATCTATAAAATAGTCCTACCATCGTCTCCCTCCCTCCTCTTACTCACTACTACGTTCTAGGTTGTTTATTTATCATTGTCTCCTTTGACTTGAATATAATCCCAGTGGGACAGGGAGCTGATTTTCCTCTAGTGTAATCGCAGCGTCTAGCACAGTGACACAGTAGGCATCCGATAAGTATTTTCATATGCTGCCAATAAACCATAGCTGATCCTGGCTTTGAGATTGAAAGATGCAAGATCTGTGGGAGGAAAGTTGAGCTTGTTGCTCAGCAACGGGAGCTGGGATGTGACTTCAAGGAGTCTCAGTCCGTGGAAGGCAGCCTGGCCCTCCCAGTTGACTGGCTTCTTCTCTTCCCGCCCTAACGGAGCCCCTTCCCCAGATTCCACCCCTTCCAGGGCCCTCCCTTTGGCTGAAGTCGCCAAGCGCTCCCAGCCAATGGAAAGGCAAAGCCCGGGCGGGAGGCGGGGCCAGAGCGCTGGCGCACTCGCTGCGCCTCCGAGCGGGCGGGGGGACTCCAGCCCGGGGGCACAGAGACGCGGAGCCCTCCCGAAGCCTAGAAGGGCCGAGGGTCAGGTCAGGATGGGAGTTAGTAGTGAGTCGCTGACGCAGTTCCTTCTCTGCTTTGTTCCAAGATGTGGGTCCGGCGCGTTCGGTGAGGGGTGCGCGGCAGCCTGGCGTGGGGGTCGGGCCAGGTTCCGGGAGTGTGGGGGGCGCACAGGCCGGGAGCCAGGCCTCCTCTGCGGCTGTCCGCTGCTGAGACTGGCGCGGCAGCCAAGGGGTCGTTGCGGGCCTCCCCTCTTGCTCAGCGCTGCCCCTTTGTCTAGGGTCAGGTCTCCAACTCCTCACAGCTGCTCTCTCCGACCAGGCTGGCGTGGTAACAGAACTGTGTCATCCCTGCTCCTAGCGGGTGGGCTGTCCAGGTGATTCAGGCCCCGCCCAAACTCTCAGAGGACCCCACAGCTCCTGAGTTTTAGACTCAGACCACCAGCTCAACCACCGTTACCAGTGAGGAAACTGGGGTCCAAAGAGGAGGGCAGCGTCTTGCCCAAGGTTACTCATTCATTCATTTATCTATTTATTCAACAAATATTTATCGAGCACCAGCCCAGTAGTGTGCTAGGTCCTGGGATTACAGTTGTGTGTAAGGCAGAACTAAATTCTGGTAGGGAAGAAATGGAACAAGCTTGAAGGGTGGGTGAGGGAGGGAAACACAAAACATATTTTGAGGACTGGTAATCCTAAGAAATGGGTAATCAGAAAAAAACATTCATTTTCTAGTGCTCCTTTCAGAAATAAGCCTTATTTTTTTCCTGTCTCTCTGAAGACACTTGACTCAGGAAAGTTCCCCTCTTGTCACCCTTTGCAAAAACTTTCTGTGGAAAGCAGGGTTGCAGAGAACGTCTGAATTGGAATGCATCTTGCAGTTAGAGGCTTTTAGATATCAACAGAACAGGTGAAAAGGACTTTTGTGGTGTGATAGAATGAGGATTTCTTTCAGACACTGAAGGCTTGTCACTCACTAGTATGATTTTGGGCAAGTCATTCAATACTTGGGAACCGCATTTCCTCATCTTTAAAACGGAAATGATCCTCCTTGTTGCCCACAGTTCTGTAGCAATGGAAGCTACCCAAGGATGAGACAGTGCCCTGAGTGTCCACCTGGAGTTAAGGTCTCAGAGAATGCAATCATTTATATCTGTTTACAGTGATTCAAGACCCCATTAGGAACTTCTTAACTGAACTCAAGGAACAACAGAGCAGGCAAGATCTGTGCTGGACAGATCCTTTGGATTGAGGCTACTGCACACAGGAGTGTGGGTGAGTCATCCTCTTCTCTCCTGGGCAGTTGTGACCTAGATTGTGAAGTTAGTCTGGGAACAGGAATCCTGCCTGATAAAGGATTTGTGCCGGGCATTGTGTGGCATGCACAGGGGAATATCATGGGTCCTTTTTTCCGGGGGCTTAGAGCTTAATGTGTACGTGGGAGGATAGGGGACATAGACATACACACAAGGCATTCTAGTATAAGGCAAACTCTATATTATAAATTTGTTATGGTTTTTTTCTCAAGTTTAGAAATTTTTATATGTCAGATATATTAGCTTTTCTATCATAATGTTAGCCTTTGTTTTATGCTTGAGGCTTAGGCCTTTCCCTGAGAGCAAGTAGTCCCTTTATATTTTCTTCTAGTTCTTATTTTTCCTTTCAATTTTTACATTTAACTCATTTGTCTTTTGAATTTATTTTCAGGTATTTTCTCTTATTTCTTACTCCATTGCAGTTAATCAATAACCAAGGACCATTGCTCAGAGGAACCTGAACAGGCAGGTGATGCTGGCAGATTAAAGGAATACGGCCTTCTGGGTAAAGCCTGTCTTCTCACCACCCCTCTCTCTGTTTCTGTCTCTTTCTGGGAATAGGACTATGCCCCTTTGTGGGTTCTTCACAGCCTGAAATGGATAGTGATCCTGGGATCAGAGTACTTATCTACCAGTCTCAGAGATTTATGGGTTGGAGATCTGTGGGGTTTTATTGGTCCTCATCCATTTGCAAGCTGTCTGAGGTTGTGCTTTTGTGCACAGTTGCTTAGACATCCCTAGTGTCCTGCTGGTCCCGTGACCTTATCTTTACCCCCTCCAAACTTCTTTAACCAAGACCCCACCTCCTTAGTGCCTGGGAATTCTTCCAGGATTTCTGAGGGAATTTCCCATCCAGTCAGGCAGAGGGCAGCAAATAGTTAAGTTTTCTTTTGATCAAACTCTCCTCAAACTTGTCTTGTCCTCCCTGTCTACTCTTGCCTCCCCATCAGGCCCTCCAGAACTGCCCTGGGCTTCCTCACAGGACACCCCTGAGCATTTTTTGTTCTCCCTACCTGCCACTTCTAACCCAAGTCTCTTTCTCAATAAGCTTATGCATTTTCATGACTTCCTCTGTCCTCTGTCTTATCATTCTCAAATTTGCATTCCTGGTATATTCTTCCTCCCCTTGTCTAAAGTGTTTTCCCATGTCCCCGTCTTGTTTAGTGACACTACCATTCTTAATACTCAGACATGGATCTAATGACCTTGGATTGTTCTATATTCTAGTGTATATATTCCATTCCTCTATATCCAGTGTGATGTATGTGGATACTTTCTGAAAAATAACTGGATTTCATTGTGCTCTGTCCTGTTAAGACTAAGGTCTTCCTAGCTTATTTATTTGTTCATTCATTCAACAGACATTTATTTACGGGGCACCTACAAAGTGCCAGGCCCTGTAATGGTTACCCATACTGCATTCCTAAAGTTGTCTCCCAACCTATTTCCCTTTCTCTTTTCTTTTCCCTCTGATCCATCTGGGCTAATCTTCCTAAAGGATTATTTTCCTAATTTCACTTTTGGGTACGGTAATACAAAATTTATTGTCCAAACTGGTGTATTTTGTGAGTTAAAGGGGGCACTATAAAATATGGTTCTGGGATAGCAGCACTGTTCTGGGAAAACCAGGCTATATGATTATCCTACTTCTAGGTGGCATATCTTAGATTCTTTTCTTTTTATTTCCCTCAATTTACTCCCCATAAGATACCCCAGCTGCATCTCTCCTCTGTTTTCCACTTCATGAAGTTGGGGGAAACATGAATGTTCTGGGAGGTGGCAGAGGAAGGAGGTATACGAACTAGAGGAAGTGAATGGTAGTGCTTGAAAAACTGTATTGACAAGTGAGAAAGAGAAGGGAAGTAACAAGATAGGAGAATAGCAAGGTGGAAAAAAGAATGTAGGGTGGGGAAAAGAAAATTAAGGGTTGATTTTACTCTTCTGTTTAGAACTTATTTCCTTGGCGAGGCCGGTGGCTCACGCCTATAATCCTAGCACTCTGGGAAGCTGAGGTGGGAGGATTGCTTGAGCTCAGGAGTTGGAGAACAGCCTGAGCAAGAGTGAGACCCTGTTTCTACTATAAATACAAAAAAATTAACCAAACAACTAAAAATAGAAAAAATTTAGCAGGGCATGGTGGCACGTGCCTATAGTCCCAGCTACATGGGAGGCTGAGGCTGGAGGATCGCTTGAGCTCAGGAGGTTGCTATGAGCTAGGCTGACACCACGGCACTCTAGCCTGGGCAACAGAGTGAAACTCTGTCTTAAAAAAACAAACAAACAAAAACTTGTTTCCTGTGACATTAGTCTGTATCTGTATTGTTTGTCTTATAATTTCATTGTTCTGGCTGGAATCACTTCAGCCAGCTTGATTCTTTCATTTCTTCATTTGTTCATTCAACAACAACAAAAAGTCTTGAGTGCTTATGATGTGCCTAGAACTGTTGTAGGTGCTAGGAATATTGTGGTGAACAAGATGGAGACAATCCTTGCCCACATTAAGCTTACATTATAGTGTAATCTCCTACTTATTTTTAGGTATGGCAGTCCTGTGCCACCTTACTTTGAGAAAAGAATTACTGCTTATTCTCTGGGGCTCAGCCTAAGTTCTGCCTTTTTAAAGCCCTTTCTCCAGCATGCAAGTCCTGGTAATTGCTCACTCCCTCTCCTAGTCCCCTTCATCTCCTATTTGGATAGTTTATAAATTATAAATTTGCTCTCTTGTTCCTTTGCCATACTACTCCACTGTTACCTCCTTAAAGGGAGGTATGATATTTCATGCTTGTATTAGTCTGCTGGGCCTACCATAACATACCATATATCATTTAAAAAGGGGGAAAAATTAGGGGAAAAAACATAATACCATAGACTAACTGGCTTAAACAATAGAAATTTATTTTCTCATGGTTCTGGAGGTGAGAATATGCAGGCAACTGGCCAATGTGGTTTCTGGTGAGAAATCTCATCCTAGTTTATAGAAGGCCACCTTCTTGCTATGTATTCACATAGCCTTTGTACATGTGCATGCAGGGAGAGAAAGCACGCATGTGAGAGTTTTCTTATGCCTCTTCTTATAAGGACACTAATCCTGTTGGATCAGGGCCCACCTTTATGAACTTATTTAACCTTAATTACCTCCTTAGAAGGTCCATCTCTAACTACAGTCACATTGGGGGTTAGGGCTTCAACATAAGAATTTTAAAGAGACAAAAACATTCAGTCCCTAATAATACTGCTTTAAATTTTCCCTGTGTTGGACCCAGAACAGTGATATGTACAGAGTAGCATGTGCTCAGTAATTATTAGTTTAAGAAATGTACAAAGAGGCCAGGTGCGGTGGCTCAGGCCTGCAATCCTAGCACTCTGGGAGGCCGAGGCAGGTGGGTTGCTTGAGGTTAGGAGTTCGAAACCAGCCTGATCAGGGAGTGAGACCCTGTTTCTACTAAAAATAGAAGAATGAGCCGGACACAGTGGTCCTGTAGTCCCACTACATGTCTGTAGTCCCAGCTACTTGGGAGGATGAGGCAGGAGGATCACTTGAGCCCAGGAGTTTTAGATTGCAATGAGCTATGATGATGCCACTACACTCTACTAGGGGTGACAGAATGAGACTCTGTCAAAAAAAAAAAAAAAATAGAAATTGTGAAGAAAAGTTTCAGAGAAGTTTAGAAATGGAAATGAAAATTAGAAAAAACTATCAACTTTTTCACAGAACTTTGGAGGTGAGTTTACTTGCTATCCTGTCCTGCTCTGCTCTGTGGTCCCCTGGCTTCTCACTGAGTTTTCTCCACCTGCGTCATCCCATATGATTAGAGAGGCCACGGTCACTTGATGTGAGTGAGCTCAGGATCCTGGCAAGTATCCACCCTTTCCCACCATTCTCTCTGCCTACCCTTCATATCTGGGGCATGAACTTGTGTATATGCCTGTGAATAGAGTCAGAGTTCTGAGATACGAACTCCAGCCTTTGCAGTTCTCTTCTTGTTGATCTTGAGCATTCACCATTGGGTATGTCCCTCCTCTGGAAAATGTGACTCAGTTTATCAGAAAGCTAGGAGACAATGGAAATTGGTCAGACTTTTTTGAAAAGTGATAGGCAGAACTATAAAGCAGTTTTACTCCTTCTGACCCAGTAACTCACTTGTGGAACTTTTATCCTAGGAATATATTTCAGTAGAAAGGAAACTTTATATGTCTGAAGAGATTGTGATAGCATTATTGATAGTGGTTGAATCTTAGAGAACAGAAATGTCTAACATTAGCATAATGGTCAGCAAACTATAAGGAATACAATTATATTACATAGCTATAATATGATCATATGAAGATTAACTAGTGATGTGGAAACATACTTATAAAAAATTAAGTGAGGAGAATTAGGGAGATATTAGTCAAAGGACACAAAATTTCTATTGAACAGGAAGAATAAGTTCAGGAAATCTATTGTACAATATGGTGATTATGGTTAATAAAAACGTATTTGTACTTGAAAACTGCTGAGAGTGTAAATTTTAAGTGTTCTCACCACAAAAAATAAGTATGTGAGGTAATGGATGTGTTAATTAGCTTGATTTAACCATTCCACAATGTAAACATATATCTAAATATGTTTTATATCATAAATATATACAGTTTTTTCTCAAATATAAATAAGTGAAATTAAGTGGAAGAAGGATGTGAATTATATCTACCATATATTTAATTATCTAACAATATGCATATGTACAAGTCTGAAAAGGAACATGGTAAAAGAAAAATTAGTCATATGTTAGTATCCTGGTGTTATCTTTTGGTTTTCTTTTATAACCCAATCTCTTCTGAGATCTGCCAGGGTTATCTGTGTATTTAGAGTTTCATGTCAAACCAGGTGGAAAATTCCTACTTATTCTTGACATTTGGTTTCATGTACCAGCCCCTCTTGGTTGTGCTATCCATTACTCTCACCCTTTTGCCATGCTTAGATACTTTACTATTATGCCATGCAAGGTCCTATGAGAGCTTATTCTGCCATACTTTAAGTATTCCTCTTTCCCAATTTAGCCTCTCAAGTTCATTAGCAGACTCAAGTCTGTCAGAGTGATAACATAGTGAAAAGCAGGTGGATGAAACTAGCATGTAAAGCTGGATCCAGCTACAGACCAGCCCATGTGAAGTAGGCTGTGATGTGACTAAGCTCCAATTTTGGAAGAATTGTGGCAACACTTATCAAGACAGGGCTTACACACTGGGATGTAGACTGGGGCCTAGTATTTGGACCTAGAACAAAAGATGTAATCTTAGTCACACCCTAAGACTGGTCCCCAACCCCCAGGCCACAGCCCATTACCAGTCTGTGGCCTGTTAGGAAATGGGCCTTGCATAGCCACTTGAGTTCCATACTACACCCTCCCCACCCCCACCCACAACACCTCTATTCCCCCATCCCTAGTCCGTGGAAAAATTGCCTTCCATGAAACTGGTCCTTGGTGCCAAAAAGGTCAGACACTGATGCCCTAAGACAGAATCCCTGTTGCTATTTTATAAAACAATTTTTGAGCACCTGTTATGTACTAGCCTTTATAACACTAGTCCTAGGGGAATAGGTGAGCAAGAAGTAAAAGCCAAACTCATCTGAAGTTTAGTCATTTGAGCTGCTGAACTAATCTTCTTTCAGTTTACTTATTTTAGGACCAGACTATAGGTTTTTTTCTTTTACTTTTTCTTTTTTTCTGAGACACTCTCACTCTGCCACCCTGGATAGAGTGCAGTGGTATCATCATAGCTCACTGCAACCTCAAACTTCTGGGCTCAAGCAATCCTCCTGCCTCAGCCTCCCGAGTAGCTAGGACTACAGGCATATGCCACCACACCTGGCTTATTTTTCTATTTTAGTAGAGACAGGGTCTTGCTCTTGCTTAGGTTGGTTTTGAACTCTTGACCTCAAACAATCCTTCCACTTCAGCCTCCCAGAGTGCTAGGATTGCAGGTGTGAGCCACCACACCTGGTCCTAGATTATAGTTGAGCCTGCCATTAGGAGTTAGATGGCTCCAGTTCTGGGTGTAGAGGATAAGGCAGGAAGAAGCTAGGGTGGATTTTATTTTAATTCATTGCTTATTTTGATGCTAAAACTTTTGGGCTTCTCTCAGCCATTGGCTTTCCATAAACCTTTACCTAGGCCTCTATGTCTAACTGCATTTTTCTCTTCTATTTGATCAGTTCCCCTACCTTTGAACACTTATCCTTCCATATGAGACCTTGTGGTCTACTCATCATGTCCTTGGATAATTCTCCTTTCTCTAGGACAGAGAACAGGCAACATGTACATTTTCTATTTCTTCTGTCAGGTGGTGAAACTGGGACTGAGATGTTGGTTCCAAAGCATCATTCCTGAAAAGTCAGAATTGTATTATATTCTTTCTTTCAGGAGAATTCCACAGAGAATTTTTCCAAGGAAGTCAAAATTGAGAAAGCTCCTCTGAAGGGAAAGAGAAGACTAGAGAGGCCACTGGAATGCTCCAAGCAGGAGAAAATGAGGAGAAAGACGAGAAACTTCAAACATAAGACAGTTAAAGACAATAAAGCACTTACAGATGTGAGTGACCAAGAATCTGAAAAAGACAGTAGCCAGTGTTGTGACCCTACAACAAACACAAGAGTTCAGGCTGAAAAGAGACAGTATGTATGCACGGAGTGTGGGAAAGCCTTTAGTCAGAGTGCAAACCTCACAGTACATGAGCGAATCCACACAGGAGAGAAACCCTATAAGTGTAAGGAATGTGGAAAAGCCTTCAGTCATAGTTCCAACCTTGTTGTTCATCAGAGAATCCACACTGGACTGAAGCCCTACACATGCAGTGAATGTGGGAAGTCTTTCAGTGGTAAGTCACACCTCATTAGGCACCAGGGAATCCACAGCGGGGAGAAAACCTATGAATGTAAAGAATGTGGGAAAGCCTTTAGTCGGAGTTCAGGCCTTATATCACATCACAGAGTTCACACTGGGGAGAAGCCCTACACTTGCATTGAGTGCGGGAAAGCCTTTAGCCGTAGTTCAAACCTTACTCAACATCAGAGAATGCACAAAGGAAAAAAAGTTTACAAATGTAAAGAGTGTGGGAAAACATGTGGTTCTAATACAAAGATTATGGACCATCAGAGAATTCACACTGGAGAGAAGCCCTACGAATGTGATGAGTGTGGAAAAGCTTTCATCTTAAGGAAGACCCTGAATGAACACCAGAGACTTCATCGTAGAGAGAAACCTTACAAATGTAATGAATGTGGAAAAGCTTTTACTTCTAATCGAAACCTCATTGATCATCAGAGAGTTCACACTGGAGAGAAACCCTACAAATGTAACGAGTGTGGGAAAACCTTCAGACAGACTTCTCAAGTTATTCTACATTTGAGAACCCACACTAAGGAGAAACCCTATAAATGTACCGAGTGTGGGAAAGCGTATCGGTATAGCTCACAGCTTATTCAACACCAGAGAAAACATAATGAGGAGAAAGAAACCTCATAAATAACAAATATTGTTGGTTATATGGCTAACTGCTACACTTCTGAAAAGCAATTTTTAAGTATCATTAACCTTAATTCTACTTCTATGAATCCATACATGGAAAATAATCAGAAGTAGACAACGATTAACAAAAGGGATATTCATGCCAGCATCATATATATCTAAAAGAAGAAAACTACATTTTCAACAGAATGGGGTTTAAGTGAATGATGGTCTATCTATATGATGGTTTTGCAGCCATCATACATTTTAAAAGAATATTTAATGACATGGAGAAATGATCTGAATAAAATGGAATATAAAAGAAAGAAAAAGCAATAGAATACAATCCAAATTTTAAAAATATTCATAGGAAAAAATGGGAATGAAGTAAACAAAACCAAAATGTGACCAGTGATTATCTCTGGGTGATAGGGCTATAGGTGATTTCTATTTTCCTCAGTATACTTTTCTATGCTTTCTAGATTTTCTACAATGAGAATGTACTACTTTTATATTCAGGAAAATATAGTATTTTTTAAATGCAGTGAGTACATGCTCATTTTCACTCAACAGTATTATGAAAGGTACATAGTACATAGAGTCCAATTTCCTGGGATTACACCCTAACACTGGTGCTTAGCAGCAGTGGAAGGATGAAAAAGTCACTTCGTATTAGAGCATATTTCCTGTTTAGTAATATAAATACCAATCCTTTGTCTTTTACAGTTTTAAGATAAGCTGACTTTAGAGTTGTCAGCAAAGTATATAATATCACTGTTAGGTTAAAAGAAAACAGCAAAAATTTATGGAATCCTCCTTTCCCACAGTTGTGGAAGGATCTGCAGATGATGGAGTACTACCTAGGCTCCATCTTTTCAATATATGTCTAGACAACCAGGAAAAAACCGAAATTGAAACAATTGTAGGCTCAAAAACTTTAGAGAGATATGGTCACCATTAATATAAAACTAGTGGAAGACTCTATCTTCACATATTACATAGAGATTAGTATCCAAAAGTGTATTCTGGGGTCAGAGAGATCTGTGTTCTAATCCCAGGTCTACCATGTACTAGCTTGTCAATTTTGAACAAGTCACTTAACTGCTCTGAGTCTCAGACTTACCTGTAAAAAGGGAACAGTCACCTACCTCACAGGGTTGTTGTATTAAATGAGATAATGCATGTAATATGTGGCAAGCCTGGCACATGGTAAATAATAATAGCTTAAATTTAGGACATTGGAGCAGTGTTTTTCTTAACAGTTTAGAGAGAGTGATTCAAGAGAAGTTTTGCCTAAGGTAGCACTTAGTATATTTTCAGGTGTAATGAACACAATACCAAGTACTAGTAGCCTAGACCATAAGAACATTGATCTTTGGCTTAATGGGAAGTCTAAAGGTAAGCAGTTCCATGTTTGGTTTTTCAACTCTGTGGTTCATCAAACTTCCATCTTAACTCCATTATTTTCAGCATCTTGTCTTCCACTTTTTGTAACTTCATGATTGCAAGACAGTAGCCACAGCTGCAATCTTCTTTTCTTCACACAACTCCTTCAAAGTCAGGAAGTAAGGAAAGAAACTGAGGCTTTTCCACCTTTTTTTTTTTTTTTCTTTTATCATTGACAAAAATCTTTCCCAGACAAAAGGGGAAGGAGTGTTGAGCAATCAATACTACAGATGTTTACCAGCCCTCTGAGAAGGCCTTATTTAGCCCATCTTCAATTTTTAAAACTTTTTAAAGTCCTTAGCTCACAGTCCATTTGGGAACACTCAGGATATCCCCATTCTTAGCTACTCCTTTTCTATGTATACAGTGAATCCCTAAACCCAATGTCATTTGTCTTATGCAGATAGTGATTTATTATTTGAGGAATTATTGAGGGTATGTTATTTCATTTAATCCTTTCAACATGTGTGCAAGACAGTTGAATTTCAGTGAGGTTAAATAACTGGCTAGCAAGTGGTTGGAGCCAGGATTCGAGCTCAGATCTGACTTTGACATTCTTGCTTTCTTCACTATACCAAAGTGCCTCTGCCCTCCATAGTGGTTCTATATATGAGTGGGAGACCAGCTGGGGTTCTCCTGGGTAACCACCTCTATGAAAGATGATTGTATCTGGACAATTATTTGACCATGGTGTCATAAGGAAGATGCTACCAATCTCTGAATGAGATTTATGGCCTATTTCTATACCTCATGATTTCATTTTAAGAGTTATACATTTCTTTCTTGCTGTTCTGGAAAGAGAGAAGTGAAGGTTATATATTTATGTGAAAAATAATTGTTTGGTTTGTCCTATTTTGATAGGATAGTGGTTTACACATGATTTTGTGATATAATAGTCCTTCTTTGCATGGTTATTCAAAGCAGGGTCTGGAGGGCCAGGAGTAGACTTGCAGCATTCAGGGAATAGGGCTGTTAAATCATCCCTGAGCAAAGTTGTTGATGCTCCCTGTATTGCTAAGCAGATAATCTCCCAAAAAACCCCAAACTTTTAAAAATTAATGTGTCATAGTATCTGAAATGCTTTCTTCAGATAGGCGCTTTTTTTTCATCTTAGAAGACTTTGTGATCTCAAGAGTAAATATGTTCTAGGAAGGCTATCATGTCATCTCATACTCAGAGATCAGAATACAGGAGATCACATTTTTTGTGTCAGGCAAGCTAGGATTATAGTCGCTTGAGGAGACTTAACTCATTTCCTAGGCTGATACCTGCCTTAAGCTGCAGGAGTAAATATTGACAACAGGTCCTTGCATCCTTCAGATAAATCTTTTGCAATATAATGTTGACTGATCACCTACCTTCCTCTAGGAGTTTACCAGGACTACCAGCTATTATCTCAGTCAGAGTTTAAGCATGCATCCCTTACCATCCTTTCAAGTCCTTTCATGATACCCTTTGGAATTCAGGGACTTCTCTTTGAATGCGTTTTCTTCACCTTCTTGTTCTAATGGAAACCTGGCTGTTCCCTAAGGGCAGTGCTCAGTCTGCAGTCCCGCAATTAATAGTTTTTGTCTCCCCTAACCACTGTACCTCTCTGTTCTTCTCTGTTCTCCCTCAAAACTCCAGCTATTTTGACGTGTGTATCACTAGACTACAGTGGATTACCCTTCCTGTTTTTGTCATCTGCCCACCTCTTGAGCATTCACATTTTTTCACTTGTATTTTTGGTTCCTTGAATATTCCTGAGGAATATGAAGAGGCAATAATCTTGGTTGTGTAGAATTGATCCCATATGGAATAAAAATATATATGCTTTTTTTTAGTTTAGAGGAAAATGTTAAAATCTCATTTTATATAGCCTTGATTAAAGGCTTATATAAAAAGCAAAGAATTCTGCTTAGAGAGGAAAATAACTCCCTGGACTTAGAGATTTTTTTTTTTTTTTGTAGATGATATGTGCTGTGCTAGGTCTTACGTGGAAGAAAATTGAAACCAAAAAGAGCTTTAGGTAGCTGAGTAATTCTGTTGAATCTAAATCCCATAAGACTAAATTTCCTTGCAGCTTTGTATCCTCAGTGACTATAAAAAATGTTTTTTCCATTCAATATAAATAAAAAAGGATGCTCTTATTGTTAGATTGTTTTTAGTCACTAGATTGTCTTTAATCACCTCTGATGTTATAAAACTGGAGTTATAAAATTGTTTTTGCAGGAAATAGTGATAATTTATCCAATAAACATCTGCTGTTCTTATAAATATCAGTGATGTTTTACAATATTATTCTTATGTACTTCTTCCAGTCTATGCCAGAGACCTGGCTGAGTATGCTTCTGAACTTTTAGAGGAAGCCCTCAGACAAAATAGTTGAGCTATCATGGTATGTGCTTGAGATGGAAGGTTGTCAGGATGAGTAGAGCCATTGCCCTCTAGCTGCACAAAAATCAAGTGGATGGAGGCAACTGTGGTATACAGTACAACGGGCATCTTCAGGTAACAAGCAGAAGCCGCTTTTAATATCTGACTCAAAGAATTTTAGTGTTTCAGAATATGCCCTTCACCTTTGTGGTAATTACTACCATTATTTTTCCAATGGTAAAATATCTGCAAAATACCTGAGACTAGGAAGGGCTTCAATTACATTTTGTTCTATTCCCCAGACACCTCTAAGGCTAGGTGATACTAACTAGATTCGCTTTAGAACTACCACTTTGTGGCCTCTTTATATCAGAGTGTATTCAAGAGTCATGACCCTCTATAGAAAGTCTAGAAGGTACAAGCCAAGAGAGCAGGCCTCTCTGCCCCCCATCCTGCCAGATTATCAAAGAAGGATTAGAAGGATTCCCAGTGAACAGAGCATATCAATGCTGGTTTGCATTCACGTTGGCATGAATTGTCTAAGACCTGACCACAGCTAAAATATTCAGCAGGTTGAAGATCTTCTTCTCATTGGCTGTCCTGACTTTCCTCCCCTTTCTCCCTAACTGTGTCTTGCCTCCAGGCAAGTTGAGACAAGTTTGCTTGCTTCTGCGTATACAAAAACCTATATGTAGTCATGGAAAGAGCACTTGCCTTGGATTAAAAGCCGTACTCGTTATTAGGAAGGAAATTTTAAACAAATTACTTAACCTTACTCATCCATCATTTCCGTATTATTAAAATGTTGCACTATTATCTGTCTCAAAGGATTCATGTAAGGAGTAAATGAGATTAACCATGTGAAAGAGGCTGACACATAACAAGTAGTATTTATATTCTCTGTTTCTTCCTGATGTCCCAGCTGTGCTTCATAGTTCTAGTTTGAATTTTATATCTTTATTCAAGTTAAATGTTTTGTAGTTGCCAGTTATATACTGCTGAAAACTCGTGTGTGTGTGTGTGTGTGTGTGTGTGTGTGTGTGTGTGTGTGTGTTGGAGGTAGAGATAGAACAAGTACAACTGAGTAATTCTTGACACCAGCAAAGACCTCTAACAAGGGTCAGCAATCCTCTTCTGATCCATGATGGCATCACCAGCCTAGTAATAGAAGGCTAGTCTAGAGACAAACTTGGGACAACCTGAAGCTTTTCATTTTCATTTAGCCCTTTAGATAGCTTAGAGGAGGCCTAGAGCAGATCCCCCAGTATCTCACTTCCTTTCCCACTAGGGCCATAACATAACAACTCCTTAACCCTTTCAGATCCTAAAGCTCCTATCAAAGCCATGGGCACCACAGCTCAGGTCCTCTGATTTTGTAATAATCCTTTACTACCAAATACTCCGTTTTCCCAGGCTGTCAGGATAGGCCTCCGATGAAGGCAAAAGGATGGACAATGGAATTTCTATCTCCCTCCAAATCACAGAGAGGATGGCTGTTTTATCTTTCCTCAAGCTTTCCAGTCTAGACTGGATTT